TATGCACATAACGCAGTTTGATCAATACCATTCCCAGTACCTTCCTTCCCTTTCCTTCTCTTCCTCCCTTCCCCAATCCAGTTACTCTACTGATCTCCCTTCTATWATTGTTCTTATTATGATTTTAATTAGTACACTATAATTATATGTAAGCAGTATGTATTGCAGTATACCCATACATGCACATAGCATAATTTGTTTACCAAACATTTAAAAAGAACTAATATCAATCCTTTTCAAACGCTCCTAAAAAACTGAAAATGAAAAAATACTTCAAAACTCATTTTTTGAGGCTGGCATTATCCTGATACCAATGTCAGAAAAGGAAACCAAAGGAAAATAATTTGTTAAATTACAGGCTAATGTTGCTTATGAACTTAGATAAGGAAGTGATTAGACAGCACAAGGAAAATAAATTCAACACTACATTAAAAAAAATAATTCACAAAAAACAGTAGGCTTTACCCAAGTGATGCCAGGATGGATTAACACACACAAATTCATAAATGTGATGTGCCAGATCAGCAGAATGAAGGACGAAACCATATGATTTTCTCAAAGATGCAGAAAATTTATTTGACAAAATGCAACATCCTTTCATGATAAAATTAGGAATAGAAGGATTGAATCTCAAGACAAGAAAGGCTTGACAAACCCACAGCTAACAGCACATTCATCAGTGAAAAGTTGAAAGCCTCTTCTCTAAATCAAGAACAAGACAAGTAGGATTGCTTGCCATTCATTTCTATTAAACAGAATACTGGAAGTCCTAGTTAGAGCAATTAGGCAAGAGAAGGACATGAAAGACATGTACATTGGAAAGGAAGCAGTAAACTGTTTCTGATTGCAGATATATAGTCTTTATTCAGAAAACTCTAAAGATTTCACCAAAAACAAACAAAAAAAAMMCACTAAAATTAATTTTAACAATTCAGGTTCGGCATATAAATGAACATACAAAAATAGAAATATTTCTATAAAATGATAAACTATATAAAATGAAATCAATAAAATAATCTTATTTGTGATATCTACAAAAATACTTAGTAATAAATTTAATCAAGGGGGTACAAAACATGCATACTGAATACTAAGGAAATATTGATAAAAGAAGTTGATGAAGTCATGAAAATGGAATGATATACCATGTTCATGGATTTGAAGAATCAATACTGTTAAGTTGTACATACTACTGAAAGTGATTTGCAGATTCAATGTAATCCCTATCAARACCCCAATGTCATTTTTTTCACAGAAATAGAAATAATCCTAATATTTATATGAAACCACAAAAAAGCCCAAATAACCAAAGTGATCTTGACAAAGAATAAAATTGAAGAAATCATGTTCTCAGGCTTCAAGACATGCCACAAACTATAGCATCAGAGCAGTATGGTACACATTCCCCACCAAAGGGASAGAATAGAGCCCAGAAATAAATTCCACATACTTGATTTCAGATAAAGGTGCCAAGAATATAAACCGGAGGAAAGACCATCTCTTCAGTAAGTTAGGCTGGGAAAACTGGATATCCACACAAAAAAGAACAAAACCAAGCCCTGTCTCACAGCCCCTCCCGGGGCCCATCTTCTCCTGCAGTTTCACTTACCCATGGTCAAACACAAACTGAAAATAGACAACGGGGAATTCCAGAGATGATCCCTAAGTGTTGAGGTGACATCACTCTCCACAGCAGGATAAAGTCTCACGCCACCCAGCACCGCCCACTCGGGACATGAATCCCCTTGTTGCGTACACGTCACCAGCTCTTTGGCCCAGCAGCCACCTGCTGTCAGACTGATGGCCATGCACTGGGTGTCCCAGGGCTTCTCCACAGGTACGACACCACGCCTGGGTCCAAACCTCCACTGGGTTCTGGAGACATCTCCTTATAGATAAGGGAGGGCTCTGTACTAAAGCCAGCCTAAGTGGGGAAGCCACCAGAAGATGGCAGGCTCAAGCTCCACAGCATTGGTCTGGGGGAGAATATCATGGAGACGACCCTAAAAGCACAGGCAACCAGGGCAAAAATAAACAAGTGGAATTAGGTCAAGCCAAAAGGCTTCTGCACCGTAAAGGAAGTAATCAACAGGGTGAAATGACAAGATGCAGGAAGGGTGAGTGAGGAGATAGTCTACACAACCCTTCGTCTTTGCGAACTGTACATCTGTGAGTGACTACTATCCAAAATGTAAAAGAAACTCAAACCACTCAAGAGTTAAGAACAAAATTAAAAATTGGTAAAGGACCCAAATAGAAATTTCTCTCAAGAATATAAATAAATAAATAAATGTCCAACATTCATGAAAAAAAACATGCCAACTTTGCTAATCATCAGAGACATGCAAACTGAAACCAAAATATCCCTTTACGTGTATCAAATGGCTATTACAAACAAGAAAAAAGATGATAAATTTTGGGGAGTACATAGGAAAAAAAGGAAATCTTTATACCCTGTTGGTGCAAATGTGAATGAGTAGAGCCACTACGGAAAACACCGTGGAGGTTCCACATGAAACTAAAGACATGACCATGGGCTGGGGTTATRGCTCAGCGGTAGAGCGCTTGCCTAGCATGCGGGAGGCACTGGGTTCGATCCCCAGCACCACATTAAAAATAAATAAACAAAATAAAGGTATGAAAATTATTTTTTTAAAAAAGACACGACTATGATTCAGCAATTCCAGTACCAGGCGTACACTGAAATGAAGCAAACCAATATGTCCAAGAGACACAAGCGCTCTTAAGCTCAACAAGCAGCATCCACTGTGGTCAAGGCAGGGAATCAGCCTAGGTGCCCACCAAGAGAAGAACAGATTCAGCAATGGAGTCTGTGCATACAGTGGCACGTGGTTTAGCGTTCAAAGTGAGGGGAACTGTGTCATTTGGGACAATGTGGGTGACTTTGGAGAACATCATGTGAAGTGAACTAATCCAGGCACAGAAAGACTAACAATGCACATTCCCACTCGCCCCTTACTTCTATAGGCTCAAATCACTAAACTTTTTCAACTTATAGAAGTAAAGGGCAGAACGCTGGATCCCAGGGACTAGGGAGGCGGAGGATGAGATGTTGGCCAAAGAATACAAAGCCCAGTCAGGAAGAATGCATCCAAAAGTTCTGCTTTACAACACAGTGACAATATGTACCAACAATGTGTTTTGAAAATTGTTCAGAGAGTAGAATTTGTCCTCACCCCCAAAGAGATCGGGAGATAATGCAAGTATTATTAATTCAACTGAACAATTCCATAACGTTTACCTATTTTAAAACAGCATGTTTTGTATGACAAGCTTATGTAATTGTACTTGTCAATTAAAAATAAAATTAAACTTACTAAAATCCAAACATGAAGGCAAAACTAAAATAAATGAATTGAAGATAGGCCACAATTAAGTTCTGAATTAAACCAGGGAGATTAAAATCCCTACTGAAACGCAGAGGACAATGGGTCGGGGGCCAGTTTGAGACAGTCATCAGCAGCTGCCAGTGGAAAGGGCGAGGCTAGAGAGCTGGAAAGAGAAGGAAGAGACTTCCAAATGCTATTGTTAGGGCCTTGCAAAAACCACTGGGCTGTACAGGGACAGCACTCCAGCTCAGGGTCCTCCCAGCCAGGATTTGGTCTGGGGGAGAATATCATGGAGACTTTGAATCAGGTCAGCCGGCTCCTGGCCTGTGATCCTGCCACTGCATACCCTACCCGACTGGAGGACGGATCTTCAGAGGTGTGCCCAGCTGGGCACTTTACACCTCTCCCCATCTCCTCATCAGCAGAGTGGACATTACAACTGTCTCTAACTGGTAGACTTACTGTAAGGGACAAGTGTAAGAAGACACTTGGCTCAGGGTCTTGTATGTAGAAATGCTCAGAAACATGAGGAATATTCCCAGTGGTCCCCACTCAACAGGGCAAAGGAAGCCTCCAGCATTCCTCGTGCAGAGGTGACAAGCACACCAAGGCGGCTCTCAAACATAAATGCATTAGATGATCAGTGGAGTGGCAGGGTCTGTGCAGTGGAGACCAGGGAACAGATGGCCCAGGATGGGGAATGCTGGCGTTGGGGAGGCTGTAGAGGGAAGGGGGTGCCGTGTGGGTACRTCCAACTGCAGCACCACTGACCATTTCTCCTCAGGAGGCGACAATAGAAAGGCTAGCCTGGCGATCACTGAGCAGCAGGAGAGCTGGGCAGGAAAGCTCAGGTGTGGCCATGATGGGTTATGAATGAGGACGAAGTAGGTAGAACAACGGGCTCTCCTGTCACTAACCGTGGGAGGAGACAGGAGCCTCCCACAGAACCAGCAAGGCTGCCAGGCCAGGCCAGGCCTTAGTCCACAGGGGACATGMGCAGGTGAAGGGGGCGGCAGCGGTCAACACCATCCTGGAACCCTGTTTGGGAACAGCCAGCAGACAGTGTGCTCAACACTGCTTCTTGTGACCACACAGGACGAGGACTGAGCCCTGGGCGGCGAGGGTGGTGGAGGGGGAAGGAAGGATGAGCTCCCGAAGGTGAGAGCAGCAGACAGAAGCGACTTGGGTGCCGCTGTGGCCACTGCTACGGTGCTCACAGGGTGAGGGCCGYGGGAAGACACAGGGAAGAAGGAGCAGAGCAGCAGCATGGTTGCAGACAGCTGTGCAGAGACACAGGAAGGCCCMGCCCCCGCAGGAGGAAGAGGTCCTTGCATTGGAGAGACCAGCTGGCCAAGATYGTCAGCACCGCCATCCTCGCAGCCTGTGCAGAAAGGACTCTGCCCGGAGGAAAGAAGAATGCCCAAGTGTGGAGTAGGAACAGCACCACCAGAACCAGGGAGACGGAACCGAGAAGACCCCTGGGGACAGCTCAGCAGAGGGAGCTGGGACAGTGGTCGGGCCTGGGTGCTCACGACCACAGAGCTCTGGGAGACCTGGGCATGCCACTGGGAAGCACGTGGGGATGAGGACGGGAACCCAAAAGGGGAGACCAGATCAGGAAGCCCCCGAGGCTGAGCCAGAATCTGTACAATGCAACACAGCACACGAGCCCAGGCCCGCAGGAGGACAGCAGTCCTGCCTGAGTGGCTTGCTCTGGAAGCTGGCAGCAAAAGCAGCAGATGAGGTGAAGTGAGAAGGGGGCGAGGGGCGGGGGACAGGGCATCCAGGGGAGTTTTCCATCCCAAAGGGTCAAGCAAGTGTCAGTAGCTTTCTGTACCATCCCTGAGACCCAGACCCTCAGCAGATCCGAGACAGGAAAAGACCTAAGTGAAAAGAGCAGGGCACATGTTTGAATTGTCTTTCTTGTCATTATTTCCCTTTCTGCTGGTTTCTCACCCAAAATGGAAGTTTCTCCTACAACACTCCAAATACTCGGGTCACTCCTTCTACCTGTGGACCCTGTGCTGGCTGCTGGGGTCAGGCRTGGGAGTCGTGGGAGAGCAAAATCGAAGTGTGCACAGCCCCACCCCACCTTCCGGACTGACCTCCTGGTGGGGACACAAGGATGAAGGATCAGCTGGTAAGACCCAGACTGTGTTGGAAGGTCAGAGCCAGGGCCACAAGAAGTGGGCCAGGAAARGGGGCCGGGCTTGGGTGGAGAGTGGCGGCAGCCAGGGGAAGGAGGAGAGGTTTATTTTGGCTTATGGTTTGAGAGTTCTCAGTCCATGGGTGCCTGGCCCYGTTGCTTCTGGCCTCGGTGGCACAGTGTGTCACAGTAGGAGGCGGGGCTGGAGGAGGCCTGTTCCCTTCAGGGCTCCAGGAAACAGAGAGAAGTGGAGGCCAGTATCCCCATGTCCCCTTCAAAGGCCACGCCTCCAGTGACCTAAATTCCTCCCCTGAGGCCCCACCTCCTAAGGGTTCCGACCCCCCAACAGCAGCACGGACTGGTGACCACACTCTTAACACTTGGCCTTGGACCCCAGCTATTGCAATGCCTCGAAGAAAATGTAGGTTGTCAAAACATGTGGCACAAACCCCCAGAACTCGAGAACTACTTTTCTTTGTTATTGTCCCAGATGTTCATTTTTTWAAAAAATGTTACTATGTATCGCRCAGTCAAAATACCTAATTCTGGGTAAAGAGAAAAATAAAATCACTTGCATGATTCCAAGTGAAAAGTACCCACAGGGCCCTTACCTGTGCCTCCACCTTTGTGATGGCTCACCTGGTGCTTACAAGGCAAGCCTCCACCTGTGCTCTTCTTACTATCAGCTCAAGTTACATACAGTCCCCATTTTACAGAGCCTGCTATTCTCTTTATACCTGTGAAGAGGGGCCAAGGAGGCATTCCRGTGAGGCTAGAGCCCAGCAGACCAGTTCTTGAGCTGTCACCAGGCCTATGACCTCTGCTCCCCAGAATATGCTCCTGCCTCTCTCTCTGATTGAACTCAGGCCCATGGCCCCAGGCCCCTTTATGCCCCCGTGCCTCCATACAGGGCCTTCCCTAACACAAACCAGTGCTGTGAAGCTGTATATCCTTCATGGCGGAACAACAGGTACAGAGAAAATATCCTGTGACTAATTTTACAGGTGGGAGAGAGATGCCCATCTTCAGTCTCCCACATCACGACCTTCAGTTACCATTACTGACAGCAAAGTCCAAGGAGCTTAAGGAGAGGGTGAGGATGACCCAGGAGGGGGCC